GCTTTCTCCTCCCATGTATTATATTTGTCCAACTCTAATGACAGCTGTAAATAACAACAGTACTTTTTGTGCAGTTAAAAACATTTAGGGATTTTCATACTTTTTCCTCACCCTGTATAAAAAAATTTTTTTGCAAACGTTATAATGCATTCTCTATAATTTACCAACCATTTCCTTGTTAGGTGCACTATACATGTCCATCAAACTAAGCAATATAATATTTTGCAATTCTTCTTGCGAAGTATGATAGAAATATTGCTCAGCCCAATATTTTATTTGGTCAGGAGCTCCATCTATGAGTATCAATCGTCCTGAAATATTCTTAGTTTCTAGTAATCTTGCTAATTCGATAGCAATTAAAGATCCGAATGAATGACCTACTATCAGAAATTCTTTTTGATCTTTCATTTTCTCCAATACATGCTATAAAAGTAAACATAAATATATGTATATATAAACTGAAGTAATCTGAAAAAGTTCTATTTATCAAATATTACATTATCAATGTACATTATACAGGGTGCTCCGCGATAAAGTTTACGTTGCTCTATCTTTACGGCGGATTCTGTTATCGCGGAATACCCTGCATATACACAGAGTGTCAAATTTCTTAGTGGCCAACCAAAAAGTAATGACAGATGAGTTAAATTTTTGATTATTCCTACTTTATTTAGTAAAATAAAATAGGCAAAACGGAAGAATTTCAAATGTAGGCCTGTACAGCTTAATAGGAAGAGCAGTCGCAAGCAGAAGATTTTAGACTAGGTTTAAATCTTAGTCTAAACCAAGCTCGTTATTTTCCTCGCTAGAAAGTACCTATCTCCCCGAAAATACCTCTATTTATTATTATGCTACATGTTGCTTGCCGCTCAATCCTCACCTATCGAGCCGTAGGAGATATAAGCAAGTTAACTATTTTGCATGCCTGTTGAGTCCGGCCTACCAATTCTCATGTGTTCATTGGCTTAGATAGTTTAATTTCTTACTCAAAAAATATTATAGCTTTTACAAAATGCTACATGACTTTTGTTCTCACAAGCTTGTCAGTTTGACTCAATCTACTATCACTTTTGAGTTGATATAAGAAATTAAGCATCCTGTATATAAACCAGAATGATTTAGCTCGATAATCAAACATTTCCAAAAGAAATTATTACACCAAAAACCATTTCAAATAACAGTTGCTTGGTTTTTTATAGAATATTTGATGATCATAACGTTATTTCAAGATCATCTTCATTTTTTTCATTTTTTCCAGAGTTGGCTACTGTTTCGGTCGGTAATCCATTTCTCATGGTAAGAGACTGTTTCACGAAATAAAAGTAACCCTGCATAGTATATACCGGGTGTACACCACCGGATATCCTATCAATCACAGGTTCTTTAGAAAATGTCAAGACGTAAATTCTAATATACAAATGTTAAAGGTATAACAGTTTTTCAAAAATAAGGGATTATACAACAGCGACATGACAAGTGATAAAAGTGTTCCTATGAATGTCGCCCTCTTTTTTAATTATACTTATCGCATAAATTGTAATAACATCGTCGCTATACATTTTCCCGCTTCTTTGCGCGTTGTATTAGTATCTTCTCTTTACGAATATGGACGTGTGAACTCAACACATCTTAAAAATAATTCAAGTAAAAATTTGCATATTGTAACTTCAAAGTGTTGCAACTGTCAAAGTTGTCGTTCAATATCAGTTACCACGAAGGTTGTTACTATACTAAAAAAGACGACATTCACAGAAACGCTTTTATCACTTGTTATGTCGCCGTGCCTGAGCGTGCGAAATCTCAGGCCTATCATTTGTGAAATACAATCGCTTATGATTTAAAACCTATTATAGCCTCGACATTTTTATATTAAGATCCTTGTCTTAAAATGTTGTAAGAAATCTGTTTTTAAGAGGCTATCCGATGGTTGTAGGACAACCTGTATAATTATACAAGTAATGAAAATAAAACTTTGAAATAATTTATAACTTCGTACAGGGAGCAAATAAGTGGCTGTCTTCATTATTGAATGACTTTGCTCAGGAACATTAAGTGTACCATGTTGCAAACATATTGCTGAAGATTTAATTCTTGATGCTATAGATTTATATATGCTTGAACATCCTTCGACTCCTGGTAAGAGAAATACATTGCCTCTAACTTCCTTCTTTGTCGTAAGTTCTACAAGAACGTCTGGAACAATGTCTGAATCCTTAA